GGGCCGCCGCTATTCGTGACATCCGTGAAGCCGATTCATCCAACAACAAGAGGTAATCTGATCAAGTACAAGTACAAGTAAGTGCCTGGTACTTGTAATTAGCACAACCGGTGAGCTAGCCCGGCTGTTGTCCCCAAGGTCCAGTACGAGAAAACAGGCGGAGTCAATTGGCCACAAGGGAAGTGTATTAACACACACAACTCCGAGCAAGTCACTTTCACATAAGGCTGTGGTGTGTTCATTCCGTCAGCTTGGTAAGGGAACGTTGTCGACAATGGAGCAATCAGCCATGACGAAAAACCGATAGCTACGGTACGCGCTCTTATTGCCGCAGCGTGCCAACTGTGCTCTGACTCATCTTGTGGATGGACGCATTCCCAACAAGGACAACTCAAGACTTGGCTCGACACCCTTCGTCAAGACATGGACCTTCGGTTTTTAATCCCTATCGACAGAGCTTTCCAGCTCTGCTGCCGCTAATCGTCATGCGTGGAGAGGTACTGTCCCCGCAACATTACTGAAGCCAGCTAGATGAGGCATGATTACAGCTGTATCACGTACAAGTACAAGAGGTGTTGCTGACACATCTGCTACACAACAGGTGAGAAATACAGTGCTGTGAGTTGCGCGAGGTGCCGACTGGCAGTGTTGTGATTTGAAGAGTAGGAAGGGTAACAGCTGTTTTTTAAATGACACGTACTCACATCCTCACTATCGAAGATCCGCGGCGAAGTGTCACTTCACTGAAGAAACTCATTCAGTATCGTAGTATGTTACAATATCTGAACATCCTCAACCCACGACTACTTTTCACTGACTATTTTAACCGTTATTGCTTGATCTCAACTTCTGTTTCTGTACATGCCTGAGTTTTAATTATTGAAAAGGTACGTTTAGTTGCATCGCCCGTGGAGTCAATAGGGGCGGAATATCTGCCGAATGGCATTATTTTGTGACCTTCTTAGCAGTGAATAACACTGCAACTTTTGAAAAAAAAAATTGGTACAAATGCTGGGTTGACAACCCCTTCTCCCCTTTTTAGTCTTGCTGTCCATCGTTAATCCCCTCGACAGCCGAAAAGCAACTTTTTTCTAACTATTTGCGGCGCCCGTTAAGACTTTCGATTTTTAACGAACACCCCTGGGAGCGACAAATTTCATTCTAAGTTCTTCCTATTTGTTCTAGAAAGCAGACGCGCTCAAATGTGAACTCCTTCGGGCTCGTATACAGCTAGAGAAATCTCAGATGGAGGTGTCGGACTTGAAGTTGGAGGTTGAAACCGTGAGGAACTCTCAGGGTCTGGCAGAAAGGTAGTTTCTTTCTTCAATCGCCAATTATTTTGTGTCTGTAGGCAGTTAGCTGAATTGCAGCGCCTGTTCGATGAACAGGTTGCCTCGGTTTCTCAATTGGCCACAGTGGAGGAGCGAAAATCGGTATGTCGACGGCATTTTGTATACTCGAAAGCCTCCCCCACCCCCACCCTTACTCGTTTCCTAACCGGCCCCTGTGACTGTGTATCAAACAAAATAAAAGTACTATATCTTGTAAGTAGACGTTTATGTTTGTGTTAACTGCAGGAACTTGAGTTGGAGAATGCATCCCTACGAACTCGGCTTGAGCAGGCCCTTCATGGTCCAGGCAACTCCTCCAGTCTCATCAGCCGTCCTGACGGCAGCGGTCTCATGCGTTCCTCTTCCCTCCTCCACACTACGCGCCTGGAACAGCGGGTCACCGCACTGGAATCCGAGAATGCGGAACTGAGACGCAAACAGGCCGA